AGGGTTTAGGGTTTCAGGTTTAGGGTCTAGGGTTTAGGGGCTAGGGTTTAGGGTTTAGGCTTTGGGGTTTAGGGTTTGGGGTTTCAGGTTTAGGGTTTAGAGTTTTAGGGTTTTAGGGTTTCAGGTTAAGGGTTTAGGGTTTGGGGTTTTAGGGTTTTAGGGGTTAAGGTTTGGCTGGTTGGGGGTTTGGGTTTCGGGATTAGGGTTTGTGGGGGGTTGGGGGTTGGGGCTTCTCGAGAGCCATGATCCTCGGTAGACCCTAAACCCTAAACCCTGAACCCTAAAGCCTGAACCCTAAACCCTAAACCCTGAACCCTGAACCCTAAACCCTAAACCCTGAACCCTAAACCCTAAACCCTAAACCCTGAAGGGCCCAAGGGTCCCCCGAATCCTGACTCCTATATAAGTGTTACTATAACGTTACTACAGAGCTTGGGGGGATGTAGTGCTTCCGGTCTCGGTCTCAGGGCTTTGAGGCTTAGGGCTTAGGGCTGTCGGGTTGCCATGGTCCATGATTATAATTCAGGGGCCAGACGAAGCCTGCAAAAGGTCTTGGCCTATGTCCGGTATAGGGTTTAGAGTATCGGGAATAGAGCCTCATACACTTTAAGGGTCGCGTGGCCTTGAAGGCAGAGGGTCGAATTCTGAAATTCTAAGAATCATCAGATTTCGTGGGCCGCAGACATCCGAAGCCCCATGCAAAACACTAAGACTTTAAGGAATCAATCCTGATTGCCACCCTGATCCTTCAATCCTAAACCCTACGAAGCCGAATAATGCCCTAACGTTTAGGGTTTTAGGGTTTAGGGTTTAGGGTTTAGGCCAAACCTTAACACCCCTAAGACCCGGCAGCCCGGACCACCCAAGCCTTAATTAGACCGTATACAGCCCTAGCATAGCGGCCTGAATAATTATCAATACCAGCTCGGGGGTTGCTTGTTATCATTATAGTATAACATGCCCAAAACCCTAGTCTAATTATTTAGGACCCTATTGTAAGTCTACACTGAGGTTCAGAAGAGCCTTTTAACGGTTAAAGGTCGACGGTCTTAGGTTAAGAGTTCAAGTTTAACCCTAAACCCTAAACCCTAAACCTGAAGCCTAAGTTCGTCGACGCCAACACCTTAAGCCACTAAACCTGGAAGGTTAAACCAGATTCTGACGTCCCTATTAAGGCTGCCTATAGGGCTTAGGGTCTAGGGCTTCGCGAAGGAATATGCTGTGATAAATGCTTGGGATGAGCATTGTAGGAAGGTAGGTTCGTCTTTGGGGCAGTATGTGATTATGTTACTTGGACCTGCTGGGGCTTGTGTTGCTAGGAGCATCCACAGACCCCAACCCCAGCTCCACGTCTGCTTGTCGGGTTTAGGGGAATCATCAACATCTGTCTTGATTGCTTCTTTGCAGCACGCGTTTTGGGCTTCGGAGCTAAATCCAAGCACTAAGCCGCAGCGCTCAAAACCCTAAACCCTGTGTTGTAGAACTATATGGGTGGCTGTCAAAATTAGGGTCCCTTTTTGGGTCCTTATTATAATACAGCACCTAATATTTAGGGTACCCAAAAAGGGACCCTAATTTTGACAACTACCCATATAGGTACTTGGGACCCTTTGGGCATCGAAGCTGCGTGAGGAGAAGAAGCCGCTCTGGTGTCGCAGCTGTCGGACGAGGCGCTCCTGGAAGGGTTTGGGGTTTACGGATTAGGCTTTAGGGATTAGGGTTTAGGGATTAGGGTTTAGGGATTAGGGTTTAGGGATTAGCGTTTAGAGATTTAGGGTTTAGGGTTTATGGTTTGGGTTTAGGGAGGGTTTAGGGTTGAGGGTTCAGAGTTTCGGGATTTAGCTGCAATGCCTAGACTCACTTGGTATGTGGGCCGCTATCTGTCAAAAGACAGGTTTAGGGCTTTGGGTTTAGGGTGTAGGGGTGAAGTTTCGCTTGAACCCAAACAGGTTAAAAACAATACCCCGCACCTTCATTCGACCCTTACCTGACCTGGCCAGGGGCTGTGATAAATGGGTGGCCATGGTTGCATGTGGGTAGTTCTCCAAATTCGGATCCCTTTTTAAGGGTCCTTTCTTATAAGGGTGCCGTACTATGTTGGGAATAAAGACGAAAGGTACCCTAACTTAGAGAACTACCATGTATCTGTTAGGTATGAATGGTGGTTGCAATGCTGTAGACATAGCTTCGAGATTTCTGGGTGGGGATGGAACCCAAAACTGTCCAAAACTCTACGCTCTGGTCTCCAAAACCCCCCTAAACCCTCAATCACAGCTAGGCTCAGAGATGGATGCAGAGCTTCACTAGGTCGCCGAGTAGTGCCCCGATACTTTTCGGGCTTGAGACTTACGGTTTAGAGTTTAGGGTTTAAAGTTTCGGGTTTAGGGCCTAGGATTGAGGGTTTCGGGCTTAGGATTTAGGACCCTAAACCCTAAACCCTAAACCCTAAACCCTAAACCCTGTCCTTCCCGAAGTTTGGTATCTGGAAACAGGGAAGCTGGGACCTCCAAGCCTTCGACGGTTTGGGGCTGAGAGCAAAACAAGGGAGATAGGGTTTAGGGTTTAGGGTATAGGGAGGTGTCTATTCTGGTGCGGTACAGTTATGTTTGGTTGTTATCGTATAGTACAGCTAATTATGTATAGTTATTACCGTATCGTTTAGTGATGTAGAGTTATTATCGTATAGTACACTTATGTGTAGTCATTATCGTGAAGTATAGTATATGTATACTGACACATGGAGTTTCATTAAGTTGGCACTGCCGCGAGCTATCTCCGAACCCTGGTGTTGTAGCAGTTTCTGTGTGAGCTTTCATGATTGGCATTCGTGCTGAAGCGCACATGTTTTGGTTCTGTATCCCCGGAAACCGTAGCTGTTTACATACTGAATGAGACATATGACAACTAGAGAAGGATTTCAGGTAATTCGCATATATTACATCTACAAGATAAAGTAAGATGTAATTATCCAGTCAGCTATTTAAAGGACTTGAATGGACTGCTCTGGCTACTTATGTTCAGACCACTGCGTCATCATGGTAAGATGCCTAACCTCGGGCCTAACCTAGAAACCCTTCCATGCCTGTTCTTGCTGAGACTGGCGTCGTTTCGGGTCGAGGGTTTTGGAGCTTATGATGAGTTGGGGATTTTACTCTAGGTTCTCCCTTTCCTCTTCGTCCCACTTGCGGCAACCATGACTTGAAAACTGTAGACTGCCCCGGTCCAAAGCAAGGAGATACGACATGATGGACACAACGCATGCGAGCGCGCAGGCTATGAATAAATGCCTCTGACAGGGTTTTGAGTGGCATGAGGACAAGAGTTCTGGCGGTAGCAGCAGCAGGAGCAGCCACAGTCGTGGCGATGGTGGTTGTGCTGGTAGTATTCGGTAGCAATAGCAGCCGCAGCAGTAGTGGTGGTGGCGGTGGTGGTAGCACCAGCAGCAGGAGAAGAAGTAGTAGTGTAGTAGTCGTCGTCGTCGTTGCCGTCGTCGTCGTAGTAGTACCAGTACTAGTAATAGTACTAGTAGTAGTAGTAGTAGTAGTAGTAGTAGGAGGAGGAGGAGGAGGAAGAGTTAGTAGCAGTACTGGCGGGGTAGCCCGCATCCCAACCCCTCAGCCATAAACCCCTAAAGCTGAACTCCCTATTTAACCCTTAAGACCAAAACCCTAAACACTAAACCCCTAAACCCCGAAACCCCTAAACCCTTAAATCCTAACCCTGAGCCCGAAAAGCTGAGCCAGGTAGAACAGATGAAGGTGTGGCGCTCGGGCTGAGGTCTGGCTTTGCGAGGGTCATTATAGGGTTCAGGGCTTAGGGCTTAGGGTTTAGGGCTTTGGGTTTAGGCTTAGGGCTTAGGGTTTAGGGTGTAGGGGGTTCATTAGGGTTTAGGGCACACCCTAAAGTCTAAGCCGACAACCCTTGCACCCTCAAACGCTGCACCCTAGACTTCTCAACCTGATGTTGGTGGGTTTTTCGGTGTTCCAGATTTCAAGGCCTGGGATCTGATCTAGGGCCTCTAGGGTTTTGGCCGTTCAAGCCTACTGGCACAAGCATCACGGACGGTTCCAGGTGAAGGAGTGGAACTGCTGGCTTCCGAGTTTTGGCGTGCTCAGTGTTTCCAAAGTGTTGTGCGCCCAGGTTTTCGGGGTTCAGGGCACAGGAATCAAAGAACGGCACCTTGTTTCAGCTCTGAGACAAATCATAAGCATTCTTGCAAATTGCGCAGCACTTTTTCCTGTAATTAGCATACAAAGTGTCGGTCTTGAGCCGCGGCGTGGCAACGCGCCTAAGCTCTCTCGACGGAAGGTGTTTATTCAACTCAAGCAAGCAAGCCAACAAACTTGCCACCAACCCAAGTTTAGGGTCAGGGCTCTGAAAGCCCGGCAACAATTCTACAAAGCTGACTCTTTGCCGAGACTTCCTTGGCGTCCCTGGATTTGGGCTCACGACTCAGCCTTCCTCAGGCATCGATATGAATCAAGGGTTGACTTTCAGGATCCACGAGGGTTGTACGGGTTTTAATAGGGTTTTGGATGTCAGTGCTTTAAGGTTCATGTGGAGTTCTCGTGGGTGTTATGTGGGGTGTAGGGACTGACCGAAGTAGGGTTTACATTTGTGCGTACGGGCGGTATCTCACACGACCAGTCACTACACGATACTTATTGGTAGAAGATAAGAACTGCTTATGAGGGTACTATGAAGATAGGAACTTCTTATGAGGGTACTATAGTAACACGAACCTTACTCATGCTCCTTGCCCTCCATCCTGTAAAGCCGAAATACCTTTATCAATGCCCCGGCATCCAAAGACGGTTAGACTTAAGCTCCTCGGCCTTATGAAACCTAAACCGCCCTCGGCCCTCGGCAGAAGATTGCGACGCCCTAGAGGCGAAGGCGACAGCTCAGTTTTGAAAGACTGGCGGGACGCGCTCCAGTCCTTGGACAGAGGGGTCAACGGCATCAGCGCCACTGGAGTGGTGGCAGTTTACACAACGCAGGAGGACACACTGGCGTCGGCGCCCTTGGCAGTGCTCATGCAGATGCCGTGAGTACGCTGAGAAGATCTTGGCCTCATTGCTTTCCTTGAACTTGATACATGAGGCCATCTTGCCTCCGAGGCGGAATGTGGTTTTTCAAAACACGGATGACTGTGGCCTGTTCCTCTTGGCGTCCGTGGAGAATGAGGTCGCGGAAAAGTGCAGGAGGAGATGTTGCTTAAGCAGGGCCAGGGCTTCGCAACGCCAAGCCAGCCTTAGAAACCGAGCGCCCCTCTGCCATTTGTTTGCCCGGACCCTAAGTGTTTCAATCTCATGTCCCGAGAAATCCGCAACGAGGTCAGCCTAAGGTCCAAAATCTCTAATAAGGGTTCCCTGTTGTGAAAAACCCTATGCCCTATGCGGACCCCGACACAGCCCTCTCGGGAGAAAGTCTATGCTGCTGGGATCCCCTGGGAGTACTTGATACATCAAGGCCTCTCGCATTCATGGAGTCCCCAATCTAGGCTTACAGGGAGCTGAAGCTCGAGTGTGCATATCCTGAACCCTAAACCCTAATTTAATTAAGCCCCCTGAGCCCTCATGTAGTGGCCTTACTAATTACCTATACTATTTTGAGGGTTCCTTATTATAACAAGTATAATGTAATGTACCGCTAAACCCTATTCTAATTATTAAGACCCCTACTTTAGACGCTAAACCCTAGACCCTAAACCCCTCAAGTCCCAGAACCCCGACCTCGAGTCCCGAAGCCTAAACCTTAAACAATAAGGCCCTACTAGGCGAAACCCTAAACCGTAAGACCCCTAGAAAAGCATGTAAGTCTAGAGCCCTATAGACCCGTATAGAATCCGGAAGTAGCCCTCATATGTATGTGATTCTTCTAAGCTTTCATAGAACCCTCATGGACCGCTAGTAAAACCCTTAAACCCGGAACCCTAAACCAGTACCACCCCTTGTGGAACTCTTATTGGAACCCTTAAAGGAACCCCTAAAGGAACCCTTAAAGGAACCCCTAAAGGAATCTGTAACGGAATCCCTACAGGAACCGCTAAAGGAAGCCCTAAAGACACCCTAAAAAAACACCTTTAATTTAAAGGAACCCCTAAAGGAACCCCTAAAGGAACCCTAAACCCTA